CTCCCTCCCTCCCTCCCTCCCTCCCTCCCTCTCCCTCTCTCCCTTCCTTTTTATTATACGCCGTGAAAAAGTCGTAAGTGCCCTGGCGGCGGCCCCGCGTGTCTGACGCGCACGTGTGTTTGTGTGTCGCAGGAGATCAACTTCGACTCTCCACGCGGCGGCATCAGCCTCGTCACGGAGAAGGGGCCCGAGACCTCGAGCCGGCTGCTGATCCAGCGGGCGAGCGCCACCGACTCCGGGGAGTACACCTGCGACCCCACCGGGGCGGCCGCAGCCACCGTCCGGGTCCACATCCTCAACGGTAAGGGGCTGCGCCGAGTGGCAACACCTATGGGGAACATAGCGCACGGGCTATTACGAAGTATATCTCTGCCATTTCAGTTGTTTCGTGGTATTTCGGTGTATTCCACGGTATTTCACGACTTTCTCACCTCCATATCGCGTCTATTTTGCAGCTGTTTGCATCTAATTCGCGTGCAGGTGTTAACGAAATATTTTGCTACTGATTTCCCCCTCGGTCTGTGCCAAAGCCCAAACCACGAGAGCGAGACAAAGAAGGGGGGTTGAGGAGAAGAATTATGAGATCCCAAAAGTATCCGGACGGTCATTATTAAAGTCTACAGGATCCCATATATTTCTACCCTAGGGTACAATTATCATGGGGCTTTTCAAGTCCTAACAATGGATACTCTTTTTTTGAATGTGCATCTTTGCAGTGAGTACTTAAGTAAATCATGTTTTTCATTCATTTTCAGGCGAGCACCCAGCTGCCATGCACCACGGCCACGCCGCGCCCAGCTCGAGGCCCGGCCTGCTCCTCTGTCTCGCGCTGCTTTGGGTGCGATAGTGTCGTCTCATCGTGTGGGCGAAATGATTGAATATGGGGGAAATGCGCTGCTTCATCAAGCAGAGTTATGTGGTGAGGACCTCTAAGAACAATGACTGGCATAATTATATTGTGCGACTTCTGTGATGTGTACATGTTTATGTGCGATGCGCGTGCATGTAGTTCGTATGTGTGAATGTACTTTACCTAACATGCTTGGATGCTATTGTTTGTATATATTCTACAAAAAAACTGTACATTAGTTGCTGATACTTTTGTGAAAATTGAGATGGTTCTGTCCTCGCATGATTTCGTGAATGTGATGAAAAATATCAATTCGTAATAAGTCTGTCATATTGAAGAAGTTATTTTGCTGCTGTAACTCCCATGCTGTCATATTGGCATAAATCATTCAGTTTTCACTATTTTCTGAGTAGGTGTGATGTGCGAGACATTCCCCAAAATATCAAATTATCATTTAGTTTCAACCATTTCTTGGTGATTTTGCCTTGTAAAACATGAAAGTCCCTAATTTCGTATGTCGGTTGGTAAATTATGATTTGTACACAATAGGAAGAAATAAAAACTATTCGTTTTATAAATAAAGCCACAGCCATTTGTCTTTGTATTGAGCTTTCCTCTGCTCGAAAATGATGAATTTAAAATACGCCGCTACAACACAAACCAAAGACACAATCTAGTTTGAAATAGGCATGTGTCTATTTGTTTGAAACAGTTTCCGCCAGGGAGCGCTGGTAGTGCTAGAATATGGATGAATTGTTTGCGCAGAGGACACTCGTCTCGCCTGCCCTACCCGACGAGACGCTAGCACACTCTCGGAGCAACATGAAGCTGGTTTAGCTGCAAAACATGTTCGCCAGAGAAAACAAGCAGCTGAAGCCACCTTCTCTCTAGGTTTATTACTGTGACACTTTTCTCACGACGTTCGGTCGTCCTTTTTTGTCTTTGTTTATATTTACTGCTGTAATACTAGCACAAATTAAATGATGCTGCAAGTTTACTGAAGACTGAAGATGCTATATTTACGTCAGTCAAGTTTTGTTCGTCCAACAAAACTTAGTCGGTACAAAATTGTGAAAAAAAGTTCGTAGAGCTCATAACTCTACGACGTTCCTTGTGTAAAATCGTTCCGTAAAGAACCTACAAATATTTTTATCACAATAAAGCAGCTGTAGGCGAGGCAGGCGAGGACCCAAAGAGCTTCCGAAGGCCGTTTTCAATTGCGTCAGCGGCAGCTTGCGCCTCGCGCGCTTGTTTACCGCCCTGTTTGCACAAGATTACCGGGCAGTGTATACCCCCGGGGACACCAGCCCCAAGCAGCCGGCCCTGGGCGCGGCCCGGCGCGGCCCCTGTGTGCGACCGAAGCGCCACCACCAGGCCGTCCGATGTCCCCTTGCCTGCCCTGCGTCGTTTGTAAGACGACATGTACATATCAAAGGCTGGTCCGCAGGGCAGAGCGGCAGTGGGGGAGGGGAGGGGGTTGAGCCTTGAGCTGAGCCGGGTCAAAAAGAGAGGAGTTGACGCTCAGGCTGCGACCGGCGCCGCCGCACCGCTGCCGTCGCAAAGGTTATTCCTCTTCTGGTCCGCGCTGAGCTCGCCATCCCCGGTTGCACCGGTATATCGTTTGCCCGTCGTTGTCGCGTCTACTCGCAGCAGCCGGCAGAGGCCGTTTGTCGTGACCCGCCCACCCGACCGGCAGCCGCCCTCTATTTAGACGGGGAGTTTGGGTTTGGTCGCGCGATGACCCACCTCTGATCGAGCCAAATATTTGAGGAGCGTCGGCCGCGCGGTCTCACCGCAGAACCGACCCGAAACCGTGAGGTTTCGGCATCATCGCGCCCCGTCCAGGACTGGGACGGGCCGAGCCACCCACCACCGGCATCGGGATGTATATTCTGGGACGGATAGGGGTGGGGGGGGAGGAGGGTCGTGCCCAGGCTTAACGATGTAGCGGGTTCAAGTACTGGAGAGGAATGGAGTAGTGCCTTCTCCCGCCCGTGAAACCAACCGCCGAAGAACCGTCGTCGCCGCGTCTCTCTGTTGCCCTAAAGAGATGCTAGGTTTATATAGTAGCCCAGAGAGAGAGAG